CTTGTTTGTAGCACCAAAGTTACTTCAGCAGGCTTGTTAAGGCCTTGGCCAACCAAAGGCTTGACAGCTTCATCGTCATACACGATTACCTCATGTCTGTGGAACTTGACAATATTATCTAACTTCAAACACCTAATATCAGTCTTCCCAGGATACTTGACAGATCCATGACCGAGTCTCCCAACTGTGAAGTCCAACACTCGGCTACAAAAACCAGGATCTGCATATTCCCGAGCAGCCAAATCCTTCAAAGAGGGATGTGTATAGTAATCAGCAGCTTCTAAAGTTGGTAAATAAGTTAAGGATCCTTCAAGGCGACTAAAAGTCTCAGACAAAGAAATGCCAGCATCCCGAGAGACCCTTCGTTTCTTGTGTTGACATGCTACTTGTGAATTAGGAGTTCCAGAATCAATGCCCATTCTGCAGGGTTGTAACAATCGATACGATGCTTCAAGTATAATAAAGTTCACAATAAGTCCCTGAAAATGTGGAACATAAATCGAACTTTAACCACGAATATTAAAAATTAGTACTCTCAATAGCACAGCATCCATGAAATATTGCTTATAATTCTTCCCCAAATAATGGGAGAAATCGTTACATCGACACCGTAAGGGTGTCCAGAACTACAAATTGACATGATGAAGGGGAAGAAACCCCAAAATTTTAAACCAAATTGGGCTTCTCCAAAGCCCTACTAACACACAATTGCAAGACTAAATTACCAAAAAAAAAAAGCCCCAACTTCAGTGACCCAGTAAAAAACTAACACCATCAAATCAAAAGGAATCAAAAGCAATCATCAGTGAGCTCTGAGTAAACGCTTACACTGCATTCAGCTCCTGTTCCGCTCGGTTTCAGCCAAGTCAAGCATTTGAGACTACTCTCAGTTCCTCCATAATTTTGTCGGCTACCATTTCAGAGCACAACCCTAAAAAATCAGAGGACTGCAACTTCAATGGAGCACAGCAAAGAGAAAATTTAGTGGTCCTCCTAAGCGTTCGAAATAAAAGACGGAGAAGAAGTAAGGGGGTTTTGCGGCGTCGGAGAGGGGATGGGCTTTCCCTTTATCGCGCGCTTTGTCCTAACCAAATATGAGTGTTCTAATTTCAGGTTTTTTTATTTAAATTTTGTTAGTCTAAATGGTCTCAGATGATCATATAATTCCTCAATTTGGTTTCTATTGAAAAAATATGATCTTTAACGATGCAGTCCTTCGTTGAAGATTCTGTCAATAATTCTATTACCGTTTGGTACGTGGGACGGAACGGAACAAGTCGTTCCGTCTCATGTTTAGTGTGCCTAAAAATTGTGGAACGAGTTGTCCAATAGGACGAAATTTGACTGATTTTTCGTTCCACCTCTTCCCCTAGAACGACGCGTTTCACATCCGTGGAACACAAATTTATAACATTTTATGACAAAATTTCTCCTTATCTTTTTCAATATTTACATCATCCGTTCCATCATGTTCCGTCATATCCTGTTCCGTCCTGTCCCGTCTCGTTCCTTCCCGTCTGCGTACCAAACGGTATCATCAATCTAAATTTTTGCATCACCGCTTGGAGTACTAGCAAGAAAGAGAATAAACAATCATGAAATAAAGTACCGGTCTGGTACTGACCAAAAGTTCTCCACCGTCAAGTATTAATATGGCACATGTTGAAACTAAATTTTCGCACCGCCGTTAGTAAAGTACTTGTTCGGCCACCTGCAAGGAAGAGAATAAATAACCATGAAATCCCCGGGCTAGTACTGGCCAGAAGTTATTCGACAGTCAAGTTAATAATAAAGGGTTTATAAAACTCAAGTAGTGGGTATGTATACGGGATGCACAATATCAAATTAGTTTGATTTACCCTAAGAAGGTATATATTTATAGTAGTTGAGAAAAGAAACCTTTTAAGATAGTGATTCTGTGATAAACTAGATGAATCCTAAATAATATTTAACATTAGTTATTATTTCTTCTTAAGATTGTAACTACATATGACTCAAGTCAATCCGTGGGAATCACCAAGAATATAAGAAACCAACTTGATCCCTAGTTGGATCAAGCTTCCATGTCTTGTGGAACAAGTAGGTCATTCTCAGCAAGGCATGCAAACCCTGCCTACCATTCTGGGGTCCATCAGATTGTGGCAGCACTGTTGATCTGTTTACACGATTCAGCCAAATTAAAATCGTTTAATCCATGACTAGACTACAAAGGCTCCATTTCGCCTTACTTTAGTCAGTGGGTATTTATGGATTTGGATCCTAGGGATCAATGCACGTGGACTGTTGATAAAAAATCGTGCGTCCCAATTAAATGCTTTTTATATTTTAAAAGTAAAGTAGTCTCATTTTACGTGAAAAATAAAAAAAATGAAAAAATTGTGACCGCATAATTTTTTATCAACGGTCCACATGCGTTGATCCCTAGGATCCTCAGGAAGGGGATCCGGCGAGTATCCACTTCCGGTATTTATGGCCCCAAATGTCCTTCTTGAGGATCTTTACCAAGGACCATATTTCTCAGAGTGAGTCAAAGTAAATGTCGCCCAAAAGTTTTCGTACATGTGTCAATCTGGCTTTGTAACCAAGGCTTGGTATAGGAATCATTCTTAATTCAAGTGTGAAGGGTGGAATTGGATCCTCTCCTAGACAACTGTTCGGGATCCTCCTGATCGGTGTTAGTAGGTCATTAGATTTTTATCTAACGGCTATAAACAAGGGACATTCTTAAAGTTATAATAATTGTAGTCATTGAATAAAAATCTAATGGCCCACTAACCCTGATCAGGAGGATCCTGAAGGTTTGCCTTAGAGAGGATCCAATTCCGTGAAGGGCATCAAAGATTGTGTTGTTCATGCAAATTAATCGCGAGCAATCATGACGATTTATGTCATTAGTCGCATTGCGTGTGCACGAATGCCAGGAGCTGATTTTTGTGGTCCTAAGGCAAGAATTGTTAGAGGCAAATTCTCTGCCCTTCCACTTCCCGTGCCTTTCTGTTTTGTGTGATCATGGTTAAACCACGTCAACATTTTATATTATTTTTTTTATAGAGATAATAAGACAAAAATGAATAGTAATATAAAATGTTGACGTGACTTAACCGTGACCACACAAATAGGAGGGCATGGGAAGTGGGAGGGCGGAGAATCTGCCTCCAGAATTGTTTCATGGCACAGATCTTGGGGTACGTCGTTCCAGATTCAGTGGTTACAATGCTAAAAAAAAATTTGAAATTCTAACGGAATTAGTAAAAAGGCTAAATCGGATAAATGATCTCTGTGGTCATAAAGTATTCGGAAGATAATCTTTGTGCTAAAAAAACTCGGATTTAAACCCCTGTGGTGTACTCCATTACCAAATTTAGTCCAAAAGTGATTTTTCTGTTAACTATCTGTTAATACATGGGTAAAATTGTACTTTGATGTGTGCACTTTCTTCTCCTGCATCTACCCTATGCAACCCCCAAACTCACTTCGCACAAAAGAGACCATTTTCAGTTTTCCATAGAGCTACCACTACAACCATGGTGGCCACCGTGTCTCCGTGGGCCAATGGAAAATTGTAATAGTTGATTTTTCTCATTTCCGTTAGGATTTTCTCAGGAAACAAACAGACGCTCTCTCTCTCTCTCTCTCTCTCTCTCTCTCTCTCCATTATCCTTCAATTTTACGTTTCTAAGATTTTATTGCAATGTTTAACAAATTCGAATTTAAATTCAAAATTCATTGCACCATTTGCAGGCCAAGAGTTTCGAAACGGCATTCTCCAACTCGACCTCCATCACCAACAATAAATTTAGGTTTCACTTCTCATTCCTTCATCATAATTTCCCTCTTCAATTTCTCCAAACCGAAACATATTTTTTTTTCAGGTTAATTTTTGTTTCATCAGTAGGGAGATGACATTGTCGAGCAAGCTATGCCTGGACTCAAATGAAATGTCATCGTCGACGCCAGTGATGTATCATCGGCGGAGATGAATCCTCGGTGGTGTATCACCAACTAAGGTGAATCCTCGGCGGCGAGGGGCTAAGAGCCGAGTTTGGCCCATAGAGACATGGTGGTAGCTTTGTGGAAAATTGAAAATGGTCTCTCTTTTTTCTCCTGCGCGAAGTGAGTTTGGGGTTTGTGTAGGGGAGATGCAGGAAGAAGAAGGTGCACACATCAAAGTACAAATTTACCCATGTTTTAACAGATAGTTAACGGAAAAAATCACTTTTTGACTTAATTTGCTAACGGAGTACACCACAGAGGTTTAAATTTGAGTTTTTTTTAGCACAAGACTATCTTCCAAATACCTTATGATCACATGGATCATTTATCCGATTTGGCCTAGCCAAAACATCATTACTCCACATTATAACAAAGTTCAAGAACCAATACTCACACATTTTCAATTCAGGGACAAAAGCTCCAATTGAACTGAAATTTAGTGATTATTGCTCTAATTTTTTTCTAATATTTTTATCATCTAAATTGCAATGTTTTAAAAATCTCCGTCTAGATGTTAGGCGGCTGGTCACCGTCTCGATTAATGCCTAGGCGTTTGAAAATTAAGAAAAGACACCTAGACCTATTGAAGCGCTCGCCTAGACCTCCTAGGCACCCACTTAGGTTGTGATTCACTTAGACATGAAATAGATAACTTTCATTTTTGCATTTTATTTTTTTTAATAAATTGTAAAAGACTTGTTGAATACTTAAATGAACACACATTATATGCTTGTTTCCATGTTTTCATTATGTTTCAATAGCTCATAATACATATATTATTTGATTTTGTAGTTTATGATGAAATTATATGTATATAAGTATAAATAGACACTTAATTACACGAAATATAATAGATATAATTAAATTCAACTAGTCCAGCTAGGTGCCTGTCTAGACTCCGCCTAGTCACTTAGGTGCTAGGCTCTAAACCGCGGCCAACTAACGCTTAGCGTGTTTTAAAAGCTTGCTATATTGTTATAAAAATTAAATTTTTTATTAAAATTAATCACAGTCCGATGATCATTTCAAAATAATGAACGTTGTAATCCGTCCGAAGCACTTCGGTGATAATTGAGGGGGTAGAAACGGACATTGCATTTGATACAAACAAAAAGGTGGAGTGGAGTTCAAAAAATGAGAGGCTTGTACCGGAGGAGCTCGCTATGGAGGACAAGAAGAGAAGCTCCGCACTCACTCTTCTTCTTCTCAAATGCTCTGTGTACCGACGCCAACATTGATGGGGTTCAAAGCTCCAGGATCAAGGTCTTCGATCGCCACTTCAGACGCAAACAGGTTCTAATTTCCTCTCTTTTCCTTTTCCCACAAATTTCCGTAAAAGCATCTAGCTTTAGCAATTTCCAATTGGGTTGAGAAATGGGCATTCTGATAAATTATTGGATTAATTAAAGGTTCATTATTTTTCTTCTCAGAAATGAAATAATAATAAAAATTGTTATTTGTTATTGTTGTTTGTGTGCAGCTTGATCGAGCTGCTTGGTTGATGCGTTCCAAGGATTCTTTTGTTGATACTGTGGCTGAGAATCTATTGGATCGTTTGGAGGTAAAAACCCAGTTTCTTTTTCAATTTACTTTAACTTTTTATGTTTAAATCTATTTGTTCTACTTAAGGAATGAATTATGATCAGACCAGAGAATTTTGCTGCTATAATTTGTTGGCTTCATCACTGTTTAAATCTATTTCTGATGGTAAGAACACTGCTCATGATGATTTATTTAGTTCGGCATCTGTATGACATTGCATATCTTGAGCTGTTCTATAGCCGATGAGCATGATACGTCATCATGCTGTTCTCAGTGGTTTTCATAGGACTCTGGTGATTTGTAGAATGCCATGTCCTTGAGTGCCTCTGTGCTTTCAAAAGTCCCTGTGTACATCTTTCTGAAAGGCTTTTTTATGTTTCTGTCTATGGTGCTCAATATTCCAAGAAAAATATTTCACTTTGTATTTAAGAATATGTATTTGTTATAAGAGAAATGAGTACTTCCATTGCAATGTTAGGGCTTATGCAAAATGTTAGAACCCTATTATGTCATTGCATTTACACTGCTAGTATTTTCTTCCCTCTTGTGTATAAATTTCCATGTGTATCATATTGAAGGACTGCAAGAAAACATTTCCAGCGGCATTATGTTTAGGAGGTCAATTGGAAGCTGTCAGGCGCTTGTTACGTGGTCGTGGTAAGAAATTAGTTTTGTAATACCTTTCTCCTTTAGGCTTTCTATTAGCTTTAACATATTGTCCGACATGTAATTTTCATGGTTAATGAGATTAAATGGCTATTTCAAGCCTTATTGATGAAAATTATCTTATTACAAATGATGCTATTCAGGAAGTGAGTGAAAAGATTTTGTGTTGCCAGAGAGGTCCCGGTTGTTCCATGTTCTACATTTTCCACAATAAGATTCTATGTAGTCTCGAATCTGTGTTTTGTGCTGGTGATTGTCTAACTTAGCTTCCCCAGTGATGTTTAATAAGAAACAACGGTATGATTGTTATTGAATTGGTACCACTCACCAATCACCAATTTCCTACCATGTACCACAGTAGCATCCATAAGTAGAGCCTTAACAGAAATGGTCTCTGTGTGTGTGCGTGTGTGACACAAGTGGACAAGTGGGAACAAAACAACCCAATCACACTAGTAGTTTCCAAGATAAGCTGACTGGGATATATATATGGTGGCATATTGTGATTCCTCAAGTACAGTCTTACTTAGCTTTTTTTGTTTTTGTTTTCATCTTTATTTTCGTCAATGCTAGGTGCCATTGAAAAGCTCATTATGATGTCTGCATCATCTGACATGGTAGAACTGTGTAGAAATGCTGAGCGTGAGTTACAAACTGAAAACATTGAAACATCCTTTATGGTTGGTGACGAAGAGTTTTTGCCCATTAAGGAAAAGTATCTCTCTACATTTAATTTCTTGGTTTTGGTTATGTTCTATCTTGAGGGATTTTTAATTTTGATAAAATATCCTCTAATTTTATGTGTGAAGTTCTGTGGATCTGGTATTAAGCTGCTTGGGACTTCACTGGACAAATGATCTTCCAGGAGCCATGATACAGGTTTTTTTACCCTTTCATTGTTGTGTGCCTGAACATTCAAGTTCAATGTTAGTTTTGGTATTTGGGTCTGTTATAACTCATGTGAGGGTGATGCAAAGAATTCATAGAAGAGAATATAACAAAACACTTGTTAAAACTTGCATGTTTTATATTTATACACTGTGCTCTGAAAAATGCTTATTTATGTTATGGCTCTTCATTTCATATATGTACCTTCAAAACTATATAGAGATGATTTTAAATTTAAGCTGTTAGAAAATTATACTTTTTTCTTTTACTTTACAAAGGATTTATTATCTTTTGGTCAAATTCCTAAATCATATTGAAAAATCAAATTCAGAACTTTGCAACTTTCAAAGTAGAACTACATAAGCTTGCATTTGCTGAGAAAATACGAATTTATGAGACATACTCGTACATCGACCGAGACATGAGAAAAAAAATCTGCACGATTTGAATGAAACAGTATTTTTCAGTATATCAAATACCTAACTTATAAAAACATATACAAAAACTCTTTCGTAATTGTTAACACCTTATTGAAAAGTTATATCAGTTACTTTTAAAGGGAGATATTCTGCTTATAGCATTGTAGTTTTGTTGGTTGATGATGAAACATGATTGCTGTTGCTCTTATGCAGTTAATTCACACAAATTTATTGGTGATTTTCATGTGTACCGTTAATTTTTTTTCTCTATTCATTTATCTGTGTTATATAATCCAGAATGTTATCATTGTCGTCATCGTCATCATTGTCATCATCATCATCATAGAGTTCAGAATGTAACTGCATGAAAATATCTAAGACAAATGTTTATATTTGACAGTGCAGATTGGCATTGAAGCCAGATGGCCTATTTTTAGCAGCGATTCTGGGTGGAGAAACCTTAAAGTTGTTTATTCTTTGTTTACTTGTCAGTTACATTGAAACTTGAAAGTAGTTTAATTTTTTAATTTGTTGATGATTGACTTATCCTTTTTTGTTACTAGAGAGCTGAGAATAGCGTGCACCGTGGCACAAATGGAGCGTGAAGGAGGCATCAGTCCACGAATATCACCTTTGGCGCAAGTATGTAATATGTTGCATAATTGCTTTCATTTGTCCACGAATATCACCTGAGATTGTTTTTGTTTCCATGCTCTGTTATTTTAGGTTTTCTGTAAAATTATATTATTGTGTGGTTAAAAATCAGCTTGTAAACCCTTCCACACATTTTCCTTGCTTAGGTGCGGGATGCAGGCAATCTTTTGACCAGGGCAGGCTTTACCCTTCCAGGTGTTGATGTGGACGAATTTGTAGTAAGATATCCAAGTGGTGAGACTTTATGGCTAATGCTTCTTGGACGTTCCATGTCTCAGTTAATATGTTTGCTCCTTCAATGTTCCATGTCTCAGTTAATATGTTTGTTCGTTCAATTTTAGGTTTATATGGTGTTTATTTAAGCTTAATTGCATGTTATCGCATGGGTGAGAAAATAATTATGGGCACAAAGTCCTTTACAATGAAATGGTGCATTGCACATGGAAGACAGAAAGTCCACTTGATGCTATCTAGAAGAAGTGGTAACTGGTGTTAGTATACTTATGCTGGTTGATTCTTAGATTTATGGTGCCCTATGTAGAGATTGAAAATATGGCTCTAATATACACACTCATGTAAAAAGGGCCTATATGACATATTATAACCCACTTTGTATATGAAATTTATATATTTCAAAGAGGGTCTACATCTAAAACAGTTCGGTGATCCTTCAACTTTGGGGGCCTGTTTCATGTTACTATTTGCATATGGCTATGGCAGGCCCTAGTTTTTCTGCCTTGCATTCAGACTGTTTAAAAGTATTCAACATGCCTGGAAGGCAATTACTTGATTATCTGATCCAAACTTGGGGCCAACCTCTAATTTTCCCTGACTTTCAGCTCATTTTTCTGTTTGTTTTTAAGTTTTTAGTTTTTTTAGGTTGGGCAGGAAAGGGGGTGGGGCCTTGTATGCCAAAAAGATGACTGATTTGGGTAGCATTGAATTTAAAGTCCTCAGTTCTACAAACTTTATTCTTTTTTGAACCGAAGTATCTTTATTTTGCAATATTTTATTTTAATGAATTTCCTCTCGTTATCCCTGTATCCTAAGTCTTAGTAATTATTTATTTTTCTCCATTCGATGTAGCTCTGGATCTCATAGAACATTTGCGTGCAATGGGTGAAACCAATGCTCTGCTACAAAGGAACACTGTAAGATATATTTACTTTTGGGATAAACAACTTTGTTTCTTTACATTATCATTGTAAGATATATTTACTTCTGGATTGATAGGTGTGATATGCTTATAATTCAAACCAGATTTTAAAGAGAGAAATGGCCCTGGCCACCGCAGCAATTTATGATTCAATGTTTGCAGCAGAAGATGGCACCATCCCAGCAACCTTCCAGGTGAGCACATGATAAACTCCCTTACAAGTGATTGCTTGAAAAATAGATAATGAAATAACCGTTATAACTGGGAAGAACAAAAGGATAAAGGCCGGTGTGGACATTCTGGATGGTCTGGTTTTTCGTGCGTATGCCAAGTTGCTGACACCAGATGCACACCGGGACCAAATCTGGACATTAATGTTGATCAGAGAGTTTCTGTGTGTGCGTGTGTATATATATTAGAAAATGTTGTTATCTCATACTATATGTTGCTTTCGAGACTATTAACCAAAACAATTGAACAACTGGATTCTTTGTTGTTAGTGTTGTTTGAATTTGTAGTCTAATAATATAAAATGTGGCAAGAGAACACTTTCACATGCTACATGAAACTACAAAATATAAAATGTAATTCACATATTATACGCTGTATTGAATGGTTTTTCAATACTTAACAAATTGAAAGTAAAAGTTTCCTTTTATAAATGACTGAAATTGGTGGTTCCGCTGGAATCCGTCATCTAATTTTTCATGTTGTATGCTTATCTGAGATCTAAAATTGTCCAAGGGGACGTGGATTGGACAATGCTAATTTTTCTAAATGTACCATTCGAAAACATTCAGGATACTGAACACCGATATAAACTTAAGTTGTTCGATCAACCAGCCTTTGTCCATCCACCCTTGCTTGTCTTTCGATTTGTTTTAGTCTTGTTAACTGAGAGTGTTCAAGCTGCTATTGTCTAGGATGTGTACGCAACCTATTCTAACGCAGTTTTGTTTTCCTCTCGTATGTTGTCCGTGCCATGGACTTGTCTCTTAAACTGTATCACTGAAGTTATTTGGAGATCTTAGTCCCACACTTCATTTGATCACTATCATATCTGTATTTGTGCACGTGTGTAACAAGCTGATCCAGAAACTCTGCTCTTATCGAACGAATGCGTCTGTGTGTTGTTGGATTTGCAGGTGATTTATATGACAGGGTGGAGGGACCATCCATCTCAGCAGAGGGCAAAGAGGAGGGGGTCGGCAACTGTATCTTTTCAGGACATCCAGAAGCAATTTGGAAGTGAGGATTGATCTCTTTATGTGCTCACGTTTTCTAAGCAAATGAAGGTCGACTGAGAGGAGAAAGTTGTACGACCAAAATGTGGGGTTCGGTCAATCAGAATATTGGGCGATTGTTTTATGAGAGTTTTAACGAAACACTTCCGTTACTGTTCATCTATAACGAAAATGATATTTTTACCCTAAAAAGTCACTTCCGGTACTATTCTCTTACAATACTTTTTTGTCATTTTGATTAAAACTCAAAGTTTTCAACTCATTTTCATTAGTTTTCCTTTGTTTTATTTCATTTTATTTTTATTGATAATTTTCTAATTTTTATTAGAAAAATTTGCATAAATACCACTAAAGGTCGTACCCAGTGCACAAGGCTCCCGCTTTACGCAGGGTCTGGGAGAGGTGAATGTCGGCTAGCCTTACCCCCATTTTATGGAGAGGCTGCTCCCAAATGTTGAACTAACCAATTTCAAGAACAATGTTTCAGAAAATGATGAGTGTAAGGGTTATATGATGGGTTAAGAGTGTCTAATTAGTTTGACAATCAAAATTTAGTTTTTTACCATTTTAGTCAATTGCCCCAAACGTCCATTATCCTTGTTCAAGTTTATCACATCTTGTGCACTTGGAAGGATATTTAATGAATTCATAGGATGAGTAAGACCTTTTGAAATAGGAAAACAACTTACATGGAACGATTTGGATCCAATAATATGATATGAATTTGCATACTAAGTGATGGTAAACTCGTTTTAAGTAGGTGCGCTTGAAATGTATTGGGATGCAATACGACCCTAAAAAAACCTAACCATTAGAAGCATAAACACGTTAATGAAAAAACTTCTGTTTTACTTTTTCATTTTGCGTCAATTTGAACGTCAAACTGCTTGTCCAATCCTACATAAAGGTTTTTGGTAGGTCTCTATCCCATTTTGAAAATCACCATAAATCTGAAGAGTTTAAATTGTATTTAATCACAAAATTCACGTCTTATTGTATCGAGTTAATATATGTGGAGTAATGTCTAGCTAGGATATTTGTTAGGGGTTTGGTTTATTCCATGTGAAGTGTATTAGTGTAAATGATTTTGCTAGGATAAATATCTAAATATTTTATCAAGTGGTTCATGTGTGAGGAGAGATTTTTCAGTGAACACGACCCGATACACCACGTGTCATAATACAAGTAGAGGTATAATACTTAAAATAAAAAACCATCTCTCCACTTATATTATGACGCACAATGTACTGGCCGTATTTCAGTAACATGAAAAAAAATCTGTGATTGTAATTTGATTGGTTCTTTGTATATAAACCTCATATTTAAAAAAATAATAACATAAGCTAAAAATATAATAAGATAAAGACGTAGCTTTAAAGCCAACCCTGCTTTAGGAGAGAGTATTTTAAGGGAGAAACCGTGGGCACTTCCCCATCCAAAACTTCACTGAAGAGTATTGATTTAGTAGACTTTATGCACTTCCCCATCCAAAACTTCACTGAAGAGTATTGATTTAGTAGACTTTATTCACACATATTTGTATGGACTCAAAGGTCAGAAAAAAAAAAAAATTGATTCCAGAGCAGTAGCTCATCAAGCTTCAAGATATATGAGGAAATAAATTAATGAATTCTAACTGACAATTAAACTGAGTTCCAACATTTCATTCTTGCTTTCCAAAAAATTCAAAAACAAGAATGCAAAAACACAAAACAAAAAAAAAGAATGCGGACTTTTCCATCTGTGAACCACAAGAAATTTTTAAGGTGTCGAGAACACAATCTGGTACACCAAGTGTCATAATATAATTGGTTGGAGATTTTTTTTTCAAGTTTCAAACCAATTGTATCATTACACTTGGTGAACTCGAACATGTTCCCACTTCTCGACACACTACAAAATCTCTCGTAAACCACATCTTGCAGACTATCTATTCGATCTATTCTAATTAAGAAGAAATAAAACGTACGAGCACTAAGAAAACATTTTGTAACTTTTGGCTTGTACAATAATCTCACGTGCTCCTCCTATGGGTGAAAAAATTGCCAGCAGGACGCCTACAACGATCGAAAACTGAAATCAAAGCACAAAATCAAAATGTCGAGTTTAGCTTTTTGCAGATTGATTATATAAAACTAAACAAAAATATAATAACAATCTGATAAAAATAAAGAAAGATTATATGTCACTGAAAAGCTAGCTAATGTTTGCTGAACGTACCCACGACGCCCACCAATGTAAACTAAATCTTTTTGGTTTTTGTGTGACAATCCACATAACGCAAGGCATCTGCATCAAATTCAGTTCACCAACTTTAAATCGTACATACATACTAATTATTAAGATAAATACAATGTTAAATAATTTGTGGTGTTGTTTTTCGTCAGTTGAGATTGTATTATGAACTCACGTAATATGATGTCGAGGAGAATACTAAGCCTCCAAATAATCCTAACAATCCTCCAAAAAATGGAATGCACACTGCAATGAATCCTGCTGCGACTATATAAAAGTTTCCAAGAAAATCAAACATCATCAGAACACAAAAGATGTCACATATTTGAGCAAAAAGAGAAAGAGATCGGTCATAGAAAGAGAGAAATGGTCCTTTCGTTTCCTTTTTTTTGGGGGGGTGGGGGGTGGAGCGGGGGGAGGGTAGAAAAATGGTACTTACGTACGTACGCACTGCGAGCAAAGAGGCGCAATTGTCGTCCTGGTTTGAATGTTAAATTATTTACTAAATACGACTCGATCACATCAAACACAGGCATTGAAAATACCTGAAATATATTGAAGCATTAGCAATTAATTAAGTAGTTAATTGATTATGTCATGACTGTTTTAATGGTATATAATATAAGCATGCTTTTACTAATTATATAGTGTGTGTGTGTTTGTTTAATTACCTGATAGCTTCCTATAACATGGAAAAACACCATAAGGTTTGCAACTGCGATGACCCAAGCAGGTTTTTCTAGTGAGAGGAGAACATCATCGTCTACAGTATTGCCAAAAGCCCAAAAGCCAGAGATTGCAACTGCAAGATAGCAAAATATTACGATGCTGTAAGCGACGACGACACCTCTCCACATGGCAATTCTTGAGGGTTTCTCTGGAGTTGAAGGGATTGTGGCTTGAATCTCTAAAGCCACGCTGTGTCCTGCAAAAGCAAATGCTATTGTTCCAAATCCACTCAACATATCAAATACTCTGCTTGGTGTCGAATGAGATCGAAATGAATGATCAACATGCTCGTGGTGACGCACACCCGTGATTGTCGATGTCACAAACGCTATCATTGCATAACTGCATGCAACAAATATAATTTCATTAGTTTTTAGTTGACAAATAGGGTTCTAATAATATGTGGTTTAGATTAGAATCACATCATCAGGAATAACTGGAAATGAATAATTAACAAGGAATGAATATATACCCAAAGGACATGAATGCAGCGAGGAGAGAAATTGCTTTCAAAGAATTGAAATTGGGAGATTGGGAGATCCCTAATTGCAAAGTAGTGAAGAAGAGGATGAAATATGTTTGTCTAAAACCACCTATGCTTGGAATAACGAGTTCGAAGAATTTTTTCAATGACTTGCCACCAGTAACTGTATACACAATGGATGAAGCCACTTGCACAGTCACCTGCTGCGGCATAATAATCCAGTACCCTAGTTTTGGCCCAAAACAGTGCTGCCCTAGTTCTGGGTATCGATCAAAACGCTGTCCGGGCACTATTTCATGCAGTCTTATCAGTTGCCAGAATGAGTAGAAAGTGATCACCCAGGACAAGATTATGGCTGCAATTCCAGGGCCCCTGAATAAATAAATATCAACGTATCATAAGATATTTTGTGTTCAATCACACTCCAGAAAGCGATTTAAATATCAAGCGTTTGTATCTAGAAATTTGATTCAGTTTTATATATGTGGTGTATATTAGCAAGAACTAAATTTCTTACTCTAACTAACTAACTATATATCTATATATATATATATAGAGAGAGAGAGAGAGAGAGAGAGAGAGAGAGAGAGAGATTACCAGCCAAGTCCTGATAATGCATATGGTAAGCCCAGTATTCCTGCACCAACAACAGCCGTGACATTGTGGAAAGCTGAGTACCACCATTTTGCATTCCTGTTAGCTGTGATGGGCAGCCAGTTATTTATGTCGAATTGCTCTTGGGCACTTCTAGTTTCAGCCCTTGCTTCATTTGCATTCGTAGTGTTTTCCTGGATTTTAATTGCATACATAGAAATATAAAGTAGGTTCATTCACGAACAGCAATCAAGATACAAATTAGAAACCCAAGAGTAATAAACTATGTTGGATTTTTGGATCGCCCCATTGGGTTTCTTTGAACCCACCGATGTGGGACTTGAACAAACTAACTAGCTATTGGTCTAGTGGAATGATGAGTCTATGGGCTGGTTTGGTATTGCTGTGCTTTGAAAAAAAAACTGCTGTGAGAATAAGCGGCTGTGAAATAAATCAGCAGAGTGTTTGGTAAACTTTTTTGTAAAAGTGCTTTTGGAAAAAAAAGCAGTCTGATAGTGAGTATTTTCATTAAAGGAGCACTGTAGCTCCGTGTGCTTTGAAAAAAAAACCAATTTTCCAAAGCTGCAAATAGCAGCTTCAGCTTTTTCCTTTGATTTCAGCTTATTCTCACAGCAGCTTCCAAAATAAGCCTTTTTTTTTTCAGTTTACTAAACACCTAAAACCCTCACAGCTTTTTTATAAGCATCTCACTCCCAAACCACCCCTATATCACCCATCATAGACAGATCGATGAATCGGCATTCACATACCGGGCTGCTTCCTAGCGGATTAATAAACTCCGGGCTGCTTCCCTGGATTTGAATTTCATAGCATCATTAAATTAGTGTATTGTGATTAGCAAAGTACAAAAGATTTGCCAAAAATAAAAGAAAATGTGTATGTTTTGATGAGTATCATAAACATATGCACTTACAGCTTGAGCACTTCTTGAGTGATGTGGGTTGGTCATTGTGGTAGTCTGGTAGATTGATTAGCTAGCTTGCCAAAGAGAGTTACTGTCAAAAGTACACTGGGGGAGCTTAAATACTAGAATTTGGATAGAGTGGAGTGTGCTGTCTGTATCTTAGAGATCCTAATTTTTTGGGTCTTGAATTAGTCGTAGAGTCTAAACTACAGTGTTGTGGTGAGCTGAGCAGTACCCCGGAGAAAATAAAGGAACAACCAGATCAGCCTTATCTAATGTAATATGATTAAAACTAAGTATTAATTACTCCCTTTAGGAAATATATAATTATCGAAATCAAACATCTTTCCTATTTTCTAACAATTTGTCCATGATTTTTACTTTGTAAAGGATTTGTTTTGCAAAATTGTTAAATAATTACCACTTGCACATAGTTCTTCAGCATTTTAGAAGGAAAACCCTAGCTGTAATAACCAAATTAAAAGAAAGAAAAAGATATAGAAAACCCTAGACACAACAGTTTCTGTGGATCGATCTTCTTAATTTGAATTTTGTTAGATCACGAAAATCACTAGAGAAAGTTATACAAGAGAAAATTATACATACTATTATTTGAGGACTTATAACTCAACCACGAGATCAGTCTCTTTCAAAGTCATCATAGGTCTTCTTCTACTCTTTTGCACCATGCCTTCGTCTCATAGTCGCATCTTCTAATTGGAGTATCTGTAGGTCTTTTGATTCATGTGTCCAAACATGCATCTTAACCAATTTTCTTTCATCTTATCTTCAATTACGGTCACTCACATTTTACCTTGGATATCCTTGTTCTTAATCCTATCTTTTCTTGTGTGCCATCCAATGAAGCATTCTCATATATGCAACTGTCACTTTTTACACGTATTGCTTTTTGATCGCCCAACATTTTGTCCCATCTAGTATTGTTGGCCTTATTTTCCAACAAAGCGAAAAAAGAAAAAAAAAACACTGATTTATTCATTTTTATTTCCAGTTTTGCGATGTCAGTTTCCAGGTCAAACTTTCATTTCAAGATTTGAGAGATTTCAGGTTTCTGTTTATTTTGGTTATTCTAGCCAGGTTTGTTAGACCATCTCCAACCCTTGGGCTAAAAGCCAAATTTTTTAGCCCGGAAAATTTAGCTTTTAGCCCAGAAACATCTTTTCTGCTCCAACCCTTCTACCCTAAAATTTTAGCCCGGAATTATTAAAGAATGAAATTAGCCTAATTTTTTTTCTTAAATCAAATTAAAAAAAAAATATGTAGATTATTGTAAATTAATTTTATGAACATTTTAATCTAAAAAAATTTAAATTCCGATAAACATTTCGCATTTAGCCCGGGGGGAAAGTTGGGGGGTATTTGGCCCAGAAATAGCATTTGGCATTTAGCCTAAAATTTGAGCATGGGTTGGAGAGTGTTTGGGGGGGTAATTTGGCTTTTAGCCCAGAGTTGGAGATGGTCTTAGGAGTAAATCAATAACTTTTTGAGGTTATCTTCGACCTATATTATAATTTTTATTATCAAATTCTGAAAATTTTCTCACGGACTCCAGATCGTTTCTGGGTTTTAACAAAGAAATTGAATAAAATTTCTCCGAACTTTCAATGTTAATGCATATGATTTTTTTTTTCTTCATATTATTTGAAATTTTTGTACTACAGATACATATCATGTAGTGTCTTGATAATCCACCTACACTTCCAGACTATCCACTATGAAACATCTGACTACTAGTGGAAATAAAAAAAAAGGCAGCCAGTGATACAAATGGCACTGACAAAGGCTAATGAATGTTGTAAAACTGGATATGTGCCAGTGACGAATGCAATTGCCATGAACACCATGCCAAGTGTGGTGTAAGTCAACATAGACTCTAACATTTCATAGTCGACCAAATTGTCTTTCCCTCTAGTCCTCATTGTTCGGGCAAAGATTTCTTTGAAGAAGGCTCCTCGGACCTCAGCACAGCTCCTCAAGGGATTGACACTTTGGATGTGTAGTCGGGCTTTTGCTTGTTGTTGTCCTATAAGAAGATGACAAAGTTAGTTCTGAAAAGTGCTTTTGTGGGGCCTTAGGTGTAGGCCTTGTGGCTCGCAATTAAAACTAACTAAGTGCTAGACGTGCCACTGCTATCTCAGTATAGCAAATGTAGAACAAGTATGTTTAGTCAATTATTTGCACCCCAAGTTACTCGAACTTCTTGTTATCAAAGGATTATCATGGATGAGTTAAGTCCACATTAAGTTCTTTTTCTCACCTTGTAAACAAGGACTTTTAGTTCATAGTCTTGTATGTTCGAAAGAAGGGAGTCCTGATCCCCTTAAGTCAATACTTGGTTCTTGATTGATTTTAATGATAACATATTCATTAAACTAACCAGATCCAGATGAAAATGGAACTCTTATAATAGGAAAACTGATGGAAATGACTTGAATACATGCTGGAGAATATATCTAGTAATAGATCTATTAATTTAGAAAGCAAACAAAGAGCCTCGGGCAAGATTTCACCTTATTTGGCAAGGTTGAACTTCTTGCAGTACCTTCTCTTTGAGATTACAGGGTTTATATGCTAAAAAATGATGGATGGTAAGCAAGTTTACATAAGGGAATCGATACTATGCCACTAAGGGAGGTAGCAGAGCTTTAACTGGGACAAGAGATAGCTTATCACTAAAAAGATCTGAGATCTGGGCTGATTACAACTTTTGGATGCAAATCTAGCTTGAGAGCAGAGTTTGTATGTTTGTTTGTTTGATTGGTTGAGTATTCTTGTCTCTGGGGCTACTTCTTCCTTTCATAGGCAAATTAGCCCTACTGTTGTAGCTTTGTTCTTGCTTGAAAGCATTTGGAGGGTAGTGAGTCATCATCTTTTTACTTGTAATGCCACTAGAAAGTGTTCTTTGGCTGGTAGTAGGTTAGTCTCCATCACTTGTCACTTCAATGACAAGCGCGTGGCTTGCATTTTGGCTGAGAATGCTTCAATTTGCTTCTGGGCTTGGTGCTAGGCTTCGGGCAAGTCTCCTTTAATTAGATATTCTTGGGCTTTTCTTCATCTAAGTCCAATGTTCAAATATTAACCCAAACAGTGCCCCCTTTAATCATTGTTGATCTGCAACCCGAGATGCTAATAATGATTAAATAGATGCTACAAGCATTTACTCGGGACTTGTACCATTTAAAACAGCCGTTGTTAACTAGACCTTTGCACTAATCCACGATTATAAACGTTAACTACCCACTTACTATATAATCCTCACTTAAACCATTTGGCTAAATACCATAGCAACTTCAATCATTCGAATTCCCAGAAATCTCAGAGCCTTCAGACTTTCCTATCTCGTTATTCAGTTCTTGACCCTAATTTCGATTTTCTTCCCCTTTTTCTCCTCAAAATCATCCAATGGCACCTAAAGTTGCTCGAACTCAATCTTCTTGTGAGATTGGTGAGGGGATTTCCACTATGCGTCACTTGCTTAACGGCCTTCATCGCCTTCGGGGCAAGCCTGCATTGAACTTTTCTTCGAGGAGAGAAATGCATTCCTTGCGACATGCATGGACTTCTCAGGTCCCTATTGTCGTTGAAAATAACATGCTTAAGGAGAAATGGTTCACCTCGAACCCATTTCAGGCCAAGTCAGGCATTTCATCTTCTAAATGGTCGAACCACCATCGTGGCTTCCCACTTATAAAGGATGAGGCATGGACATAATGGATAAATGAGCTCGAGCTCACCTTTAAAAGGAAATGGATGAATAACAAAATTTATGAGCTGATAATGTTGTCTAAGTCGACTGTGATTGCTAAGCCCAAACTGCTCACTGCTGCACTCCTCTTTTGGAACTCGGGCACCAATACCTTTGACTTTAGGATGAGCTCCATGTCCTCGACCATCCTTGACATGGCCCAAGTCTTCGGGCTAAGGTCTTTTGGCAAAATCATAGATGTTACCCACGATTGGGCTTCTCCCTTTCGCTCGACCGCTGAGAGCTTAAGCAGCTCTGCCCCATTTCTTTAATTGGAGTATAACTTTGCGACCTTCAAGAGTTATGGAACTTCCTTCACGAGTTTTATCCCGTTTACCAAGAAGGAGTTTAGCCCCTCTTCCTCCAACGCCAACAAGGACCAATATCACATGTACTTTCTCATGTACTGGCTTTATAAACATGTCTTCCCAAACAAGTCCAAGGGAGAGAAAGTTGAATGGATCATTTTAGTGGAGGCTCTGCATCCTATATGAGATTACCAAAGGTGAACTACTTGAAACCAACCTAAATGGTCCAACTTGGATGATTCAACTTTGGCTTTAATGGTATTTCCTTGAGCTTCGGGCTCCTAACCTTGAATTCCTCGAGGGTGTTGCTCCTGCTCGAATTCTAGCCGAAGGTTCTCCAATCAATCACTCTACATTCGTTTGTCTTTATTTCTTCAAAGTCTGCATGACTCGGGCATACTTGGAATGTGGAGCTTCCGTGCTGAGGAGATATCCTTAGTTCTCTGACCAAGCCTTCCAAGACGCCTTTAAAGAAGATGCTAATCTCTTTTGCTGAGAGAGGTTTATCAGTTGTATTCAATCAAGGGACCTAGCTTGGGGAGTAAGGAGTGACCGCTATGAGCGCGGGCTGGAGGTTTACCACCCCAACTTCTGTGCTAGACAGTTAGGTTTTAGATAAGCTATCCCAGTGCGCTTCTTTAACTTCGTTCATTGCACTACCTCCTATCTTCTTCACTGTCCACAAGAAATCACATTTTGAGTTGCTCGACGAAGTCTCGAGGTACTGAGCATGGTTGCCTGAAAGCCCATGGCCCTGAACTTCGAATGCACTTCAAGCTTCTCTTCCTGATAGGAAGCAAAATGGACTAAAAAGTATGGAGGAGACCTGCGTGAAGCCCATGACTGCATCTTTAAGCAACTCTCAATCAAATCCTATCCAAAGCCAAACAAGCTTGAGGATTGGAAGGAAATGATCTATCAGAAGAATCAACTCCTCTAATAGGTACCTTTTACCCTTTTTTTTTTAACTTGTGATTTTATCAAATTTCATGAATCTGTCT